AAAGAAGGGCTTGAGTTTAACGGAGAATAATGAAGACAACTGAGATGACAGTGGGGAAGGGAAGGAGAATACCGGCTATGGAAGAGAAGAAAAGAAAGATTTCGGATAGGTAGAATAAACATGAAGAATATGACAATAACAATCAGAAAAGGAACAGGATGACATGGCGGGTTTTGGGAGTAAAAAAAGAAGAATTAAAGCTTGCAATGAAAATAAAAGCAAAGCTGGTAAGAGAAGGAAAAGAGTTTTGAAAATAAAGGCGGGAAAGAAATGATGACCAAACGATAATCATAAAAAAAAAGATGGCGACGGAATAAAATAAAGAAGGAGGATGTTTAAAACGAAAAGGATATTAAAGAAAAGAAAATTGGAACCAGAAATAAGTAGAACGTAACAACGGATTAAGATGATAAAAGAAAAAAAAAATGTAATGTTATAGACGGGAGAACAAAGAAAAAGAGACGATGGCAGGGCCCAGGATAAGGATTTCACAAGAGAAAATGAAGTTTAAAAATAAATCGATAGAATAGAGAGAAACATAGGAGCTGGGGCGCAGGAAGAATACACTGTTAAATTATTAAATAAAGAAGGATGTAAATAACTCTTAAGACAACACTCAGCTATCGATGACAAATTTGAAATATTTATTAAAGAGCCTAACCTTCGTCGTTATATAAGTAAAAATGGAATTCACATTTGAAATCAGGCTTCCGCTATCTATAGACATAACTATAACAGGTTTGTTTTATTTTTTACGACTTATCAAGTCCTACTATTTAACTCATATCTGGGGGAAGAGCTGGACTTTTCGACTTTTTAAAAAAAAAAATCATTTCACGCTAAGCAAGGCGACAAAAATGAGAACAAAAATGTGTATATACCGGGTGTAACAGCAAAATTGACCAAATCGTGTAACAGCATAATTATCGATCCCACATAATTTTTAATATCTAAAATATCACTAAACTGAGTTTTTTTTTCCAGGTTTTCAAACTAGACATTTAGCAATCTTGACACCATTTGTCGTAAGAAACACTGAAAAACCTTTCGAGTTATTCAGCTAAAAAGTGAATAGGTTAAAATCATTTTGTGTCAGTCTCACGTGTAATCATCCTTTTCCAAAGGTTATTTACGCGTAAGTGAATATAACGGACCCGACTGGAATTTGAACTCGGCTCGAGCCTTTATCCATTATACAATCCGCCCATCCAAGACAAGATAACAGCGCATGGTATTCTCAAGCGGCTAGCCATCTAGGTACTAACTAGTCTCGAATTTGCCTAACTTCGGTGATCGAGCGAGAACTAGTGTCTTAGTGTGATATAGGGTTAAGTCGTCCATAGAAATATGCAAATTTTCAAAAATCACACGTTGTGATGACGCAAATGAGTATGACGATGCTGAAAGAGAAAATAAAAAGAGCTAATGAGAAGAACATGAATAGTTAAGATATATATATATATATATATATATATATATATATATATATATATATATATATATATATATATATATATATCATCGTAACAGCAAGATTGTCCAGTTAACATTTGAACTGGTGTATCTTAAAAATTATTAAAGATATCTTACTGGAATTCTCAGAAGTTTTTATAACACTGTTGGATTCTACTTTGTGAAATAAGAATGTATAATTACTCTCCAAGCTTAGAAGAATCGTGATGAAACCGGTCATAAACGAAAATGACCTGTTAATTATTAATTAATCGTAGCTAAGGATCGGAAGTTCATTAACCATTGAAATTAAGTTCAAATATACATACATATATATATATATATATATATATATATAGTCAAACCTAGTGAGCCAGACAAACCTGCCCAGGTTTCACCTAAGCGGCTCTTTCTTTTTTTTTAAACCTTTTTTCCGTCGAGATTAATTTGATTATTGGCAAATAAAAAATTCGAAGGTTTTTCGAAACGAGTATAGTTACATATATATATATATATATATATATATATATTATTCCAGGATCATTTTCCGTCTTGTTCAAGATGATATTCGCCCTCTCTAACTTTCTAACTTTCTGTCCTGGCGTAACAAGTTCCTTCACAAGTTTCACGTACGATTCCATTTTTAAGACTCTTTTCACTGCTCATTGGATTGTTATCCTCACTCACGTGCCAAACGTCTTATGAATTGATTTGGAGCTTTTCTAATTGATCTTTTTAGTTCTAAGTTGAAATGATTATCCCTCTTGATGTTGTGAGATCCAGTGAACCAGTTTTCCTCTCTACTGTTCCCACGTTTTTAAACTTATTCACCGTTCCCTTAATGGTTCTTGAACGGAGTTTGAAGATGAAAGCCAGGGTATGAATGTTGGTACCATCACGGAAGGACTGAAAGATATTTCCCTCTAACCATTGCTCAGTTGGGAAAACAGTGAGACCGACACAAAACAATTTTAACCTATTCTCTTTTTAGCTGAATAACTCGAAGGGTTTTTTCAGTGCTTCTTACGACAAATGCTGTCATGATGGCTAAACGTCGGATTTGAAAACCTGTACAAAAGAAACAATTAGTTTAGTGATTTTTTTTTTAGATATTAAACATTTTGTGGTATGGACAGTTTTTCTGTTACATGATTTGGCCAATTTTGCTGTTACACGATTTGGACAATTTTGCTGTTACACCCGGTATATATACATTTTTGTTCTAATTTTTTGTCGCCTTGCTTAGGGTGAAATTATTTTTTTTTAAAAAGTCGATGCTGAATACTAGCTATTGAAAAAAAAAATTCGAACATGCAAACAGCATTTGTATAGTCATTGTTTATGAAGTATTTGGAACGTTTCCAAGGAAGAACTGAACAATGCGAGGAAAAATCCAAGGTAAATTACTAAAAATTTACTGAAAACCCCAGGAATATTGGCGATAGGGATCCCCCAGTGAATTAGATTTCCAAACCGTGAGAGCCATGCCTGATGTATTTAAGGTGTTTGCTTCATCACACATAATGGCTAGTGGTTATGCGTGGGGATTGAATGGCAGGAAATCTTTCCAAATCTTAATCACCATCCACCATATACTCGCAGACTTCAAATGCAGCATCGTTTGGAAACCGCTACACTAATAATCAATACATATCTTCTCAATTCTCGTGTTTTTGGACATGGTTCTGAGTGAACCAGCTTTTATTCTTATGAATAACTTATTTGAGGTACAGTTTTCTCAATTCATTTACGAGGACCTGACACGTTTAAACGATTTTTGCATCTTCATCTTCATTAGTCTGGATGTATGTGTAACGTACCGATTACTTGTGCGGTCGTTAAAATTGTCGTGTTGCACTCACTTTTGCACAAATACCCTTGAAAATGCATGAATCCATCTCCTGCCTTCGTATTAAATAATATCTTAGAAGACGATTATATTTAGGGGGAATGGTATCTCTGCTCGGACTTTCTGAGGTTGGCCTTTGAGGTCAGATGGAAGACAAAATAAGGAAGTCGATTTTGATTGGTTAAGCAAGCGTGGGAATGAGAGAGAGGATAGAAAGGTTTTTCAGTGAGTTGTTTCTTAACCGTCAAACAATGTAGACGTGTTTTCTTTCGTGTCTAGAACGGCTCTCCAGTGAACGGGGAACGACCTCCACTGGTTAGATAGAACATGTCGAAATGAACGTTATTAAAATAGTTAAGTAAAAATTCCCTGTGTTAAAGTTCTTTCATCTCTGGATACAAAACAGCTAGCGATCACCGACCATGAAAGAAGAATGCAACTTTCTTATTGAATTGATTCCGTGGCCAAAGACATCCCTAACACGAGGGGGAAATATTCAACACTCGATTTCGGAGTTAATAACAGGACGCCTTGGCTCTCTAGCGTGGAGAACAACAAATCTGAATTCAAAATCTGAATTCGGAATCAACTGGTTGAGGAAATAGAATGTTTCTCTAAACGCCGTCTCCCTTCATTACGTAGTCGATCATGACTCTTCACAACTTCCCGTCTCTTGTAGGGTTTGTCTTTTCAATATCTCTCCTAAATTCTGCCAACTATTTACCCAAGCTTGTTAGGTAAGTTATGCATTGCTTTCCTCTGTCCTTCTTGCCATAAATATGTCTTGTGAGTGTCAAATTTTAAAGTACCCTTTCCTCATTGTTCGCCATAGAAATTTCAACTGCCTTTTAGTTATTCTAAGTATAAGGGTCTTTATTGTTTCCATTTTCCCTAAAATTTCGTCGTTGTTCACATGTTTGGTCCATGGTATTCTCAGAATCCTTCTGTAGAACCATATTTTTGTTGCCTGGAATTTAGTCTTCATCTGTGAGGAGGAGCTAACATTTCCACCGGTAAAAAACTGTTTGCTACGAAAATCACGTCTACGGTACCTAACGTGGCATCACTGTAGCACTCTACTCCTCAGAAGAAATCAATATAATAACAATTGTGCCTTCTGGCTCAACCAAGTTTTAATTCCCAGGTTTACGTCTCTTAGATCCATTGTTCTTGTGGATATGGGTAATCGGTCCGAATATGAAAATTCAAAATGTTATTCTTTCTGTTTTCTTGGACTGTTTCCTGTTTGTGGCAATACCATTTATTTATACTTTTCTATATTTGCTTTATTTTAATTATCATTATCTCAACTATTATTAGATCTATACTTCTATTTTCCATCCTCATCATTTTAAATATACTTGTCGCTATAAATTACCGTTTTAATAATGAAGGAAATGCAATAAGGAGCACTTTCCACTCATTATTAGTGTAAATCTCATCCCCCTCGTTTTTATTCTTCATCTTTTTTTGATATTATTCTCATCACTGTTATGATTTGTTTTCATTTTCTTTTCCTTTTATTGTCATTGTGCATACGCGCGCTTATGTGTATATTCAAGATGGCCGACCAAATAGTTTGCGTTGGTGAACAAAATGCAAATTTTAGAAAAAAAAAAAAGCTTTATAGTTTATTTTTGTATCTGCAGAGGAAGGTTCGCTTTGCCTCCGGCTTCACAACACGACAACAGCGGTATTAATGGATCGAAATGGCTATTTTTCTAATCGTCTGCACCATCTCTATAACGATTTCGCCACCTCCTTTACCACAACATATTCTTCCTGCCTCCCGCCTCTTCATATTTCTGTAACCTTCTCCTCATTACCGTTCCCCTCTTTCTTACTGTTCTTTCATTTTCTTTCTTTTTCTCCCGTTCTTCTCTCTATTTCTTTGATTCTCTTTTTTTTTTCTATCTTACTCGATTTTCACTCACCTCCTCGTTTTTCTTTTTTTTATTGTCTGTTAATATGACTCTAGTTGTATTCTATTCTTCATTCCATCGATCGGAAACGGCTGTTCACACCATATTAATAAATAAAAAATAATTAACCTCCTCCTATTTCAAATACTTACATATTTCCCTCTTGTCATCTTTAGTCGTCGCTAAAACAAAAGTTATGTCTGTCTTACTTGTTAATCTCCCTATAAAACAAACACTAATTTACGTTTCTCTTTATTGCTATAGTTCCTGTGTATTTCTCTTTTTCTGTAATTAAGACATCTTTTTGCATTTCTGTTAGTATTTTATTTACAGCACCTTCTTATTTCACACTTCTTTCTTTCTTTGCAACTACTTTTTCTCTCTTAAATACTTTAGTTTCTTTTTCTTTCTTAGTTTCATTTCTTAGTTTTCTTTTAGTTGTTTAGGATTTTACTTTCTGTCTTTCTTTCAACATGTTTCCTACTCGCTTCTCATTCCCTTTCTTTCTATTTTATATTCTTTTAGTCCTTTTCTTTCTTACTTGCTTGCTTTCTTTGCGACTACTTTTTCTCGCTCAAATACTTCAATTAATTTTTCAGTCTTATTCGTTCTTTCCGTTTTTTTCTTTTATTTTTTTTAGTTCTTTCTTTCTTTCTTTTGAACTACATTTTTCTCTTTAACATTTTAGTCACCATTTTTTTCTTTTTTATCCTTTCTGTTCAGTTTTATAGTCGTTTTTTTCTTACTTTCTTTTTAATAACTAATTTTTTCTTATATTTCAGTTGCTTTTTTCTTTTTCCTTAATTTTATAATCACTTCTTTCACTACTGACCAACTTTTCCTCTCTTTAGTATTTTAGTCACCCTTTCTTTCTTATATTTTTTCTTTCTTTTTCTTTTCTTTTATAGTCGTTTCTTTCTTCCTTAGTAAATAAGTATTTTTCTCCTTAATATTTTAGTCGCTTTTTTCTTTCTTACATTATTTTCTTTCCTTTGTTATAGCTGTTTAGTTCATGCTTTTCTTTTACTTCACTTTCTTTGAAATGCTAATTACCCTCTCTTTATCTTTTTCCTTCCTTCCGTTTCTTCCAACTCCACTAATTGTAGTTTCTTTTATCCGGCTCATTCATTTTTTTCTTCGCCCTATATTCACCATTTTCATTCGTTTTTTTGGCACCATATTACAATTTTTACTCTTTTTTTTTTTGTCCGTCTTTCTCGTTTTTTTTTTCTTCATTTACTGTTTTTCTTCTTTATAGGCACTGCGTTTCCTTCTTTTTTCAATTTCTCTGCTGCTTTTTCTTGACTCATTCATTTTGCTTCATTGTTTTCTATACTTTCTTTGTTTCTCTCTTTTTTTTATTATTTCTCCTCTCATGTACTTCGATTACGTTTCTATTTTTTTTTCCAATTTTTTATTGCTGTTATTTGTTTTCCCATTTCCACAACTTTCTCTCTCTCACACACTTTTTCTCTCTCATTCTCACACACTCATTCTCCCTATCTCTCTCGCTCACTTCCCCATTCTCCCCTCTCTCTCATACTCTCTCTTCCTTCTCTCTCCCTCCCACTCTCTCTCTCTCTTCTGTTTCTTTCGAATCTATAATGTTCCATTTTCCCTTTCTTCTGTCTTAATTTTTCTTTATTTTTGCCCTCTTTCAACTTCATCATTTACACTTTCAACCAATCTTCCTTGTTTGCTTTCGTTTCTTTTTTATACACGATTATTATTATTATTATTATTATTATTATTATTATTATTATTATTATTATTATTATTATTATTATTAAGCCCCACCCTTTACTGCATATTTCTGTCCGTTTTAATAAAGGCGTATTTAATTTCTAATTTCCCCTACTCGCGCCGATAAGTTAGACTTTAGATTACGGCTACAAAACACCGGGAAAGAAACCACAATTCCTATCCATCATAAGGCGAATCTTAACGTGAGAGGAACGCGAAAAAGGAACTTTATACGGCCTCCCTGTGTTCTGGGAGGAGGAAGTGTTTTTATCACTCGTCTTCAACACAAATGTACGAAAGCGAGGCTCTTAAATTTGACGAGGAAACAGAAGCCAGATAAGTCATCAGTCATCAAGCTTTGCCGAAATGAAGCAAAAGTATTGGTTTTAAGATAAGCGACAATACAGCACGCCGTCCCGATGTTCACAGCATAAATCTAATAATTGGCTCTCAGGTAAAGTAGACGTTGCAAAACTAACCAGTGTTTGAAATATCGTTCCAATTAACCTGTCTGGAAGAAAATGATTGCGTGAAAAGTGCAGGAGTCATTTTATCAGATATCATGCACTAGTATTATTTTAAGATCTTCCAATTAGGATTACACGCAATTTAACTGTCCTCGATAACAACGTATTTGATTTTTGCCGGGAATAACTATAATATCTAAGATTATTCGGAATAATTATCTGAATCCGGTCTAGTCATAAAAAAACCTTATTAGTTATACTAATAATTGTATCAAAACAGTGATAGTAAGCAAAGAGAAAATAATATTTATACTATTGAAATACTAATATTAACTAGAAATAACCGTGAAAATTTAATGAATTTCTTAGTGAATTTTTACTGTAAGCTTGAATGTGCGGGTGGTGTAATGGATAATGGCTCGAAATTGTTAATCGGAGAACCGAGTTCCAATCCCAGTTCGTTTCGTTATGTTCACTTACGCGTACCCTTGGGAAACGTATGAATCCACCTTCACTCCCCGCAAGCTTTGTGCTAATTAGTAAGACTTGTTTCATTATTATCTCAAAAAACATCTCTTGCAATTAAAATAAATTTCTGTCTTTAGATAGCGCGCAAAGGGTTAGTAAGCCGTAGAAAACGAATCATCCAATCAATATTTGAATTTTCCGATGAATTTAAATTCGTAAGTTGACTCCTTCCCCAGCGAGTACGTTTATATATGCTTTACCTAAAGTGACACCTTCAGACCCAGACGAATAGACACGTCCAAAACATAACGTCCAAAACCAGCTAAGTACGTGTTTCTACTTGTTATGCCTTTCTGAACTCGAATCGATTAATACCTAAGAGTTGTTATCCACCGCTCGGGTACTTTCTTAATTACTATATTAAAAACAAATAAGAAATTCGCCCGAAAAATGAAACGTTTTTCTCAAAATATTTGGCGGTTAAGAGGTTAATGATCAAATAAGCTCCTTGCGAAATTCGAGGACTGTTGCATCGATAAATGTTTGACATTAACATTTTTAACAAAATATTACAGTGACAGTCATCAGTATGAAAGTAGGGCCTTATTTAAAAAAAAAAAAAGTGGGTACAAATCAAAAGATTCAATATCGACGAGGTTTTCCATTTCACAGAAGCAGATGTTAAACACATGCGAGCATTATCGCTTCCTCTGTCTTCCCTCCCTTCCTTCCTTCCTTCCTTCCTTCCTTTCTTTTCCGCAAAACAAATCAACACCTTTAATATACCTTTTCTTCCGTCTATCCTCGCAATTAAACAGGAATTTTCAATTGGTTATCTCAGGGCGTAACATGATTTTTCTTTTACAGTGAGATTCGCCCTGTACAAGTCCCGAGGTAGCGGCTTACAGATTAAGAGACGCAGTTTATGCGGATATGTGGGGAAGATAACAGTTAATTCTGGACTTGAACAGGTTGTGATTATAGCGATCAGGAAAACACTCTTTTGGTAGTCGGTTCCACAGTATGGCTGATCTCGGGAAGAAGCTGTTTGAGTGACATAGGAACAGAATGAGGGGTATTCGCTACAATGTGCATAAAACTGAGAAACCGGCAGAATTATAATGGGATAAGTGCATATCTGTTCATGAATGGAAATGGCGATGTAACTTCTTGCACCGAATGTCGAGAGGGATTTAAGCTTGAAGAATGAAGATGCCTAGGAGACGTGGTGTTCACATCAAGATACTTGGGAATGTGCTCAATCGAAAACCGTTTGAGCAGGCTGGCTCACCCGATCAGAAGGCAATTCCGTGTTCAAGGTACGAGGTTATGCACTTCTTTTATCAAAACCTGTGCCCATATTGAGCACTTTTGAACGTGATGCATTTGTTTGGTATTCACCTATCAGACGAGGTATCATGAGTCGTAGATTTTTAAGCATCACTTTGTTGGCGTGCGGATATCTCACGGAATATTTTTTTTTCTTTTTTACAATAAGAATCAGTGGAGAATGACATGAAGCCATTTCTAATCTTAGGTCGCTGGTTGGGACTCCCAAGGAAATGGGTATACAACAGAAATCAAAGAAAATAATAATAATAATAATAATAATAATAGGTACAGCCCACACTTTACGAAGGGCTTTATCTATGTAATATTTTTTTTGTCAGTGAAAAGGGTCATGATGCCATTTCTAACCTGTGGTGGAGTATTTTCACAGTGGAGGCTTGTATTTGTACTAAGTCGGTCCTAAAATAGGTTCGACGTAAAAAACGTTAGGAACTTGATATAATAGCTATAACGCAGAGTAATCTAGTTGTGGTCTCTGAGACTTTAGCATTCGACTAACTGTCGTACGGCATCGACTGACTGACCGACTTGTATTTAGTCACCCCCCCACCACCACCACAAGGGTACCATGTGGCACAAGGCCGTTTAAACGTGGGATCTCTGAGCCCGTGGGCTCGGTCAAAAAAAATATACCTTTTGAACCCGTATAAACGGGTTCAGGGTCGGTTTCCTTCCCAGAACGAGACTCCACCCTTCGGCGTAGCCTCGTTCGGGTCCCTCCCCGCCCGAAGGCAGATAGTTCAACCGTTCAGCCGTTCGTCCGACAAAAAAAGTCCTGTCACTTGATCTAACCAACGCCTTTATCCACTGTGTCATGTGTCCTTGAAGACATCTGTGTATGAATTTCTCGGTATTATAAACCTAATGTCTTCAGCAACCATTTTTAACCAGTGCTCATATTGCAATTTTTGCTGTTATCATCCCATAATTTTACAAGAACTCATATTGCAACTTTGTTGTTATTATCGCTTTTCTCTGGCACTCCTTATTACTGGTTCCCATATTGTATTTATTTCTATGCTTGGTCGGCTCAGGAGATTTTTGTGGCTTAGCATATGTACTGATTCCTTAAGTTTACGAATTTTCCAATGGTGTTCATTGTCTATATATTTTAGTATTTACATATTTGAAAACGTTTCAGAAAATAAGTGGTATTTCAGATATCACTTGGAATGCTCAGAGTGAAAAAAGGGAAAAAAAGTAAAGAAAACAAAAAAAAAATATTTGACCCCCCCACTTCCTTTAGGCTACATTAAAATTTATATATCATAACAAACGAAAAAATAGATGTACTTTCTGACTCTTCTGTGCAGCACAGGAAAAATAACAAGTAAAAATTATTTTCTCTGTCTTTAGACTTTTTCTCATCGTTTACCCATCCCTACTCCTAGGGAATCTTGTTGCTGTATTTGGTTAAGCAGATCTCGCAAGCCATTTACTACAGCTTAGTGAGTTTCGATTCACATTGGGTAACCCAAACTTGTTGACTTACATTAAATCAACGCTAATATTAATAGATAAGTTCAAGTAAATCTGAAGGCACCTATTCCTATTTGATCGCTCAAATTAAGCAGCATTACCTTTAAGAGGTATGTAAACACGTATATCTCATTAGATTCAAGTCATTTTTTTTTACCTGTAAGGAAACTGTC